ATTACTGCTTCTTGCGATTCTGTGTCAACCCCTTCGTCTCACTTGTCTCCCCGTCTATAGCCCATACAAGACATATTTCGTGCGGATTTGAGTGACAAAATAGTTGCATAGGTACCCCATGAGGTAACTGTGACGAAACAACGACTTTCTACAGAAGATTTATACCCATATTGGCGATTTCGCCTCAAAATCGCTCGATTTCGGTGGGAAAAAATGCGGAGTCAATTTATAATGACCTTTTTGAATATGTAGGGTGTTCAAAGGCGCGTCAGAGCTCGAAACCAAAGGCAGACGTTGAGCAGATAGCTGAGAAAAGCAGAATCGCAGTACCAGAAATCGTGTTCATAATCGCTTTGCGACATGGGGTGGTCAGAGTACAGGTCGATTATGAGGTGATTAAGGCTCTCATAATCACTCCATAATCGCTCTCAGAATCGCCCCGTAATCGCGAACTCTGACCACCCCTATTGTCACGCCCTCGAGGGCTATTTCTTGCTTCTCCTCTGCGTTCCCCTCAACAGGCCTCGGAGAATTTATTGCTGGACAAAATGCGTCCATGGGAACATGTATGAGGATTTTTGAGTGAAGCGCCCGGAGAGTAGTACAAAGCGAGACTCAGGAAGCTTTGATGGGGATGAGTCGGCCCACTTCCTCCTGCAAGAGCGCCCCAATGGCTTATGATATAAATCCCGTTCCTATTGCTGCTCATTTGGAACGCATCTGGGCACTTACCTTCCAACTTGCAACTTTATCGGTTGGAAATTGAGGGAGATACGTCTGTTTGTCCGAACACTGGGGTCTGTCCGAACACTGGGGTCGCGATAGTACCGCATGCAGAAAGAGAGCAGCCGAGCAGCGCGCGCAGGCACCGCTGTCACGCGCTCATCAAAATGTGATACGGGGGCGAGCGGCGAGGTCGAGGGCCCTGCTCATGACGGCGGGAAGAGGGAAAAAGCAAAGCGACAACTATGTAGTATGCCGCAAGCACATAGCATGCCTTAAGGCGAGCAGGTCTATGGCGGGAGGTAGGGAGGCAGGAGCGGGAGGCAGTAGTCACGACGGACAGGACGGGAGGCGGATATCAACGGAGAAAAGGCGCTGACGGTAAGCGCGTAGGTACCATGAGGAGCGCATCAAATTCTGATGCGCTTTTAGCGCGACACCGTCCATAGGGTGAACAGGACGGCAGAAGGCGGGCAGAGCGCAGGAAAAGAGGAGAGGGGTTCTACAGGCAAGAAGAGCACAAAGTAGCTCACATAACAGCGGTGCCCGGCGGGAAGAGGGCGGGGATAGAACCCGAGGGGTAGGATGCTGGCGATGGAAGAGCCACCCCGGATGTATGCACAGACGGCTCCGGACAGGCACGGTAGGCATCACGTGGAGAGGGCAAGGGAGGTTCCAAACCATCATGGCCCTATCCCCCTTCGGGTTACTAGCGCTGCACCAGAAGTGCAAAATTTGCGCCCTTACTCAAAAATCTCCCGACTCACTTCAGATTGTACTCCCGGATCTTCATAAGTACATTCTGTGATATCTCACCTATCACCTATAGTTTTTGGAGCTTCAAGAACGGAGCGATTGGGAGACCCGAGAGAGAAGATTGAGTGCAACAGTAATGCAACTAGTTGGAGCGTCTCAGTAACGGCGGCGTCACGGGCTGTCGAACGGCAATCGGCGGCATTTTGTAACCCCGCTAGGACAAGACACACACCTCCGCTATCCCGGCTGAGCTGAGCACGACTGAGATCGGGTCCTTTTGGAGCTCCGACAGCCCGAAGGTGGCTGCTTGTCACGCTCAGGAACTCGTTCAGCTCTCTAAGCCTACCTATTGCTCCTATAGCCTCGGAAAAATAGACGTAAGTTCTTCTTGCACTTTAAGAACACACATTGAAACTTGGAGAGAATCAGACTGCAAGAACAGTGAGCCGAGGCCATCGATGTCGTCAAACCCCTCATCTTCCCAACTAATAGTCAAATATCTCGACAACCTCAAGGCCATTTTTTCCAATTCTTTTACGAGACCGTAGAGTAGCTTCATACGCACACGACGCAAAAAGAATCAGGTTATTTGATGAGGATCTGATGAATAGCGCCTCGATTTGCACTTCTGTTGCAAGATTTCACTATTTGCACTTCTGGTGCAGCGCTAGTATAACCGCCGTTGTAGGTTACTCGGTTGCTGAGTGACCCCCTCGTGCTGGATGGGCTTCCCCCGAACAGGCAAATCCCGCCTCCAATAAGTCGAAGGGACTCCTAATATGTGCTAGAAACACTTTGACACGTGCGTTGTGGGCCCCGCCGAGTACAAAAATTGACAGCGTCGGATTTGTTCGGTCGCCTCTTTCCTCTCACCTTCCCTATCCTCTCTTCCAGGTCATAGAAGGTGCACAAAAACTGCCGCTCTCGCAGAAGACATGTTCGCAGAAACTCTGCCCGCGGTAGGTCCCGGTATGTGCCAATCTTCCCTAGAGCTGCCTTCGATAGGATTGTAAGTGCCCAAATGATTCACTCTGCTTTGAGCGTCCGATGAGCACTGACACACGGTACAGGTGCGGGAGATTGCACACGATATGACGACAGATCTCAACGGCAGAGGGAACGAGGACCTGCGGTGGCAGAGGGAGGCCATGGACGCGGTGCAGGAGGCAGCGGAGGTCTTCCTGATCGAGTTGCTCGAAGACGCGTGAGTTGGCTATGTGGCACCCTAACCCTTAGGCTGCGCCTTAGCAGCGGACGTGAGTCTAACGAAGTCTGCACAGCCAAATTTGCGCCTTGCACGCTCGACGCGTTACCGTCCGAGTTGCGGACATCCAGCTCGCCCGCAGGCTGAGGGGGTGGCGAAGGGCTTCTTGAGACCCCAGACCACCACCAGTGACCACCGAAAAAGGCTTCCTGCGCAACCATGGATGCCACATCCACGTGTCTACCACGACATTGAGAAAAGGTTTCATTCCGGAGATAGGCTGTGAGTCGGGCAGGACCAGGCTCAATCACTCTTCCTGCGCGATCGTGCTCGTGTGTACTAAGGCTTCTAAATTCCTGCGGCCCTTGCGATGTACTATATCATATATCTGTATTGATAATTGTCTTCCTATGTTGTCGAATCAGGATGAGGGAGAGCCGGAGGGGAGAATAGCCGCCGTCCAACCAGGATTAGACGATTCTAAGAGGATTTCCTCTCTGGGAGTGCCCCCAAAGCCCGATTGAATCTGTCGCGTGGGCGAATCCGGATTAGGAAGGGGACACGCGACACCAGAGCGCTGGTCCTAGACAGGTTCAAAGACTGAGATTCTGCCTAGAATACGCTACTGTAACGAGAGTACGAGGTCGGGTATAAATACGATACGTACGAGACGCCCGAGTAACAGGGATTACCGAGAAGTCGAGTCCATGAGTAATGACAGTCGGCGAACGCATGGTCCAGGTGATGGGAATGAGCAAGCAAGGAGTAGGAGTAAGTAAGCAAGAGGAACGGGATCAGATGGAGGAGGTACGAGGAGATGATGGGAGTAGGTACGGCGGGATGGAGCGAGAGCGAACGAGCGCCGGGCGCTACATACGCCCTCCGGAAGTCGTGAGTTAAGTAGAACGACTTCCAAAACAGGAAGCGACGCTTAACCGCTGTCAGCGACGGTAACACAGCGTCTCAGGCGCGTTTCTTGCCAGCGCGACTGGACCTGCGTTGGGAAGCCCCACCAGCCTCCTCCGGGTCTGAGTATTCGATTAA